TAAATAACATCTACGTTTGGAGGATATAAACGAAAAGAAGGGAGACACATCAATTGGGGGGTCGGAGAGGCTTATCCTCGGACTTTGTGATAGTAAAAAAGAAGGAGGGATCCTAAATGAGATGTTTCTCTAGTGATAAAAACCACCATTTTAAACCTTTATGTTTCCTGAGTCCTCATTGATGGCGGTAGTTCTTATGATATCATGTACTATGACGTTTTTGAGAACATAGGGTTGAAGAAAGAGATATTATAACCCTACAATGGATTCGAACTATAAGCCTTTAACGATACTATAAATTTTCCCTAGGGATACGTCGAACTAATTGTCACTCTAGGAGAAGGCTCGGATACCACGACGATTGACTCACAATTTCTGTTAGTTACTTGCAAAAGCATCTACAATTGCATCCTGGTCAAATATTTTGTGCCAAACTTAGACGTTGTGGCTTTCTTGGTCCATCTTAAGCTTAAATACCATAACTTTCATGATGAGCTAATGATGATATGCCCTGACTTGTCTGAAGTGAAGGAGATATACAAGGCTCTTTGGAAAAACCAGAAGAAATGTGAAGGAAAAGCTATGAAGATAAACATTGCTTCCCTAGTTAAAAACTTAAGAGACATCGTTATCAGGTCTCTAAAAGGTAAAGAAGATCATTTTGGTCAGGCATTGTCAGATAATAAATCGGTGAAATTCAAACACATCCACCACATTCTTGGTGGCCAATAAGTAATGGCTACACTGCTTGATTAATTTTAATTTGCTTCATACGCAAAGTTATGATGTATTGCTATGATATACAATGTTATTCCATCAAAGAATAAATAAATTTTCACTAAACTCTCTCTTTTCCTTGTGATTTTAAAGGCAGCAACGCAACAATGAGTCAAGTGGAATTGTTATAAAAGCCACATGCATACTACCGAAGCACTCAAAGTCTCTTGATAAGAGACTCGGGAGTGTTGTCATAAATGTTGTATTTGTATGACCAAAGCAATCAAAGCCCCACAGTGCCAAAACACTGATAAATACAATAGACAATAAAGTGGCAAATATGGGTTCACCCATCTTTATAGCTAGCCACTCTAAAGGAAGTGGTGATTCCATATTACGTTGACCTCAAACTAGATTTTCACTTGGGGAAAAAGAATGGAGTATCGACCCTTGACCGGGTATGGTCCCCAGAGACATCCAATAAAACTTTAAGCACGGTCTCAGAAGGCAAGCTACCTCCTAGAGAGACAAACTAAGAACTAAAAGTAATATCATGTAAATAGGTCAAATCAATGGTAAGTAACAAAGATCTAAATACACATTGCAAGGCATGAACCACAAATTTTACTCATTCATTGGATACATACAAGTTAGGTACAAACATGCCGGAACAAAAAAAAATGAAACCCATATTCAACTATTATACCAAGGAAACTAACCTGTCATTTTCCATTGCTTCCTCAAGACGGACTTTCTCTCTAGAGATAGGCCCAGTGGAATAAAAATAATCCACCAGCTACAAAGCGCTTTCAAAAGAGTAATGAGCAATAGAGTAATTCTCCTACGATGACTTTGCATACTCATTGGACAATGTAAGTTTCTCAAGATGCATCTCACACATACATTTTTCACCTTTTTATCAACCTTCTCAAGACTCCTTCAAAAACGCCCCAAGCACTTTTATCCTTTTTCAAGAAGTATCCAAGGATTAGTTTATTTCACCAAGAGTGGACTCCACCCTATATAACGATGCCTAAGCCAAAATAAGGTCTTGTTATTCCCTGTCACTTCCTGAGAAAGTAATATCAACTTTTCAACATGAGTATCGGGATACCCGAATGGCTCAACAACATCCTTTATGCCCAAGAATGAGGTAAACGCTCCCTGGAGCTCTTATAAACATTGATTTTTCTCAATGGTAAAGGCCTCGAAATTCTCTTCGACCACCCATTTCTCCCTCTAAATACGGTAAAAAAGGAATAGTTTTCATCGCCTATGCTCCAAAGCCAATATGGAATATGCCCAACGGGTGTAGTATGCCAAAAATGGAAGACCATAACCCCATAGTTGTTCTTGGACCAGTTGGAGCTGATACATGTTCCTTAATGGATTTAGTCGGGGACGCTTAGTGAGCGGCATGCCCTATCGAATCTTTTTAAGATTAAAAGTAGACTCTAAGTCTCCTCCATCGACAGGTCATAAAGATTTTGAAGCATCTTCTACCATGATACGGTTGAATGAATCTCGTACTTCCACCTGCGCGTAGGCGTCGCTTGGGCCACTGCATTGGTAACAATGGTTGGAGAGGAGATTACCTTGGCAAACCTCTCCATTTGCTGCATTATTTTCTAACATTTCATCTTATCTATAAGAAAAGGACAAAGGGTTTCAGGAGGGGTCCCAGAACGAAATTCAAAGGATAAGACATTCATAACTTACTTACCAAATATGTTCTTCCTAGCCTCCATCAAGTTGTCTTCCATGAGCAGGCATGTTTGTATGATTCGCCTTAATTTTTTCTTTGACAATATATCAAAAGGTGAAACACCTATGGCATAACCTAGAGCTTTGTAAAAACACATTAGTTGCCTCTTCTATAAGGTTTCCTCTTGATTCAAATCGTTCATATTGTAAACATATGATCCAGACTCCTCCAGAAAGTGGCTTTGACGCCAAAACATAGCAAATTTATTTGAGCGTTGGTAAGGTGACATAAGATCTATTGAGTAAATTTTAGCATGAGCCTTTTTGTTTAGAGGGATGACTAGTAATAATCGATCCTTGAAGTGTTTCACACTATCTGCGTATACGTCAAACATCCTGGAACATGACGAAGAGATATTAAGCCATCGCCCTTTATCGAAGTAGTTCTGCTACGCTGAACCTTGAAGAGATGGAAAATAACTTTAGGTTCAACACACCCCCTTGTATTCGCACTAATACTGAAACACTTTAATGTAACTCTAACTCATCGAGTGCATTTACAGATAGGCGATCAATAAATGATTGAAAATGCTAATCTCAAACACGTTGAATGGGAGGCGAAGACCTATTAAAGAGAACAAAAACAAATGAAATGAGATAACACACCCATCATACTTCTTGCACACCTTCTTATCTTTCTCAGAGATAAGCACTCCCCGATCAGATTAGAGCCTCACGTCGATAAAGACTCGAAAGTAGAAGTTATGTCCAACGTTTCTGAAATCACCCATCCTGGAGAAATATCCCTTTTTCCTTGCGACACATGATAGGTGGAACATCCATTTTAAGGAGAATTGTCAACACATAAAGGAGAAGTGGGAAGAATTTGTACCCTGATGGAATGCACCAAAAATAGAAGTTCAAACGATAGATATACAAAACTCACTGCCTAAAAAACCCTAAAAAAATGTGAAAGCAAGAGAAAGACATTGATTTTATCTTAAAAGAAATAGATTGTTGTTTGTGTGTATTAAGTATCAACGAGCAAAGATCGCGTACAAATTTATCCACACAAAAAAACTAGAACAATAGAACAAATAAGAAAGACAAGAAGAAGATCTATTACAGATCGCAAATCCCAAAAAAGAAAAAATAATACTCTAGGGATCTTTTATGTGTCTCAACCACTACAAACCTAATACTTTAGAGATCTTTTATGTATCTCAACCACTAAGTATCTTATGATCCCCCACACACTATCAATGATCGATATTTCATCAAAGGTTATGCAAAGTACTAAAGTCTCGAAGAGAAAATATTATGACCAGCTAGCATGAGGGCGCCCGTCAGGTGTTCTTTGTGAAATGTTATTTATTATAAGAAATGCATTTAATGCACCTATTCTCAATGATAATCTAAGGATGTCAATTTGCATCTGTAAATTATTTGTTCGGAGCTTTGAAGTCGGAGATTTTTTTTCCATGAAAACGGAGATTGAGTGAAAAGTTCTCTCAATGACACTTTGGAACAGGGATCGAAAAAGTACTCTCTAGCCTAGGTATTCCCCGACCCCGACCATATTATTTAACTTTTATATATATTATGTTATATAGTATAGAATTATATAATTTTACACGTTTTTTTATTATAAAAAAATAATTAATATATTAAATAATGAAGAGTTATTTTATTTTATTTTTCTTTGTATAATGTATTGTTTCATTTTCAAATATCTAATTTAAAAAAAATTCACTGTCTCCTCTTCTTTTCGCAATTATTTTTGTCTCCTTCATTCCTCATTCATCATCTCCTATGTTCTCATCATTACAACAATCACTTTCATTTGTTCATATTATTTATTGTAATTACTCTTTAACTTATTATATTTCAATTAATATTTTGTTTTTCATTCAATTAGTGGTTATGTTTTTTTAATTACAAATGCTTTGTATTTCTTTTTATTGATATAAAATGTGTTTCTATTAAAATAAAGATGCAAAATACATATTTTTTTAAAATATTATTTTTTATAAAATAATAATAACAAAATATCAGTGTTTTGATCAAAAAATATTTAAGATAAAATATTTTCCCCATGACAAAAATTAGAGCCGAGGATTGAAAAAACATTGAGGGACAAAGCAGAGAAGTGCCATAGTTTTGATCGAAAATTATTTAAGATTCGATTTATTAAATCTTCAATTCTCTATGGTGATCCGTGGAAATGGGAAAAATATTTCCCCCATGACTTGGAAAAACAAGTAATGTCACAAGATCAACTTGAATTAATATGACATGAAGAATGCAGTCCATAGCAAAGCAGCGTGTTAATGTTTACCAACCAAAGACTAGAAGACAAGCTTCAACATTTTAAGAGTAAACATAACATGACAAGTATCAATACCAAGAAACTGGCAAAACATAGACACAAAGGAGTAAAATCATATCTTTAACAACGCCTTCCATGTCCAATATTTCCTATACAAATCCTGTTAGACATATGACAAAACCTAAGCAGAACATAAAGAACAAGCAGTTCCAATAAAACCTTTTATGAATATCCTTACGCATAAAAAGATTCACAGCTGAAGTAGAGGTAATGCCATAACAACCCCAAAGATGGAGAAGAGTAATAACATCATCCATGTTGGAAATGCCTGTTTTTTGTTTCTCCTCGTGTCCTTCAATCCCTCTACCCTTTTCATGACTTCTTCTGCTGAGTCTAAATTCCTTTCCGAAACAGAATTTGAACCTTTATCATGACGAGCGTCTGATGATACTCGCTGCTCAGAAGCAGTTTGCTCAGAAAGCTGCTGCTGTTCGTACTTCTCCACGTACTCAGGGAACATTTTCCTGAATGTTGCACTGCATGGAAACAACAGCAATTAGTTATGGAACGCAAATCAGAGACCTTGTTCAATTGAATCATGATGGGCTGTTGCGAAATACTTACTTCTTGCAATTGAAAGAGAGTGAAGATTTTGCAAGACGCTGCTTCTCGGCAGTAGTGGTGTTTACACTGCCCGTGGTTGGACTGGTATCCATCTGCAAAAGTAAAGCTGTCATATATCAGAAGCTTTAAAAATTACATAACACTGCATATGCTGGGAAGTATTATCAACTGCATAACATTTGTCATTTAGAAAAAAAAATATATCAGATGTATTATATGGATTAATATCAACAGGCACTACATATATTGCTACTTGAACTTTAACTTCCCACGGATCCCCACTACCCAACCAAAAAACTGCCAAAAGAGGCAATGCAAGACCAAAAAACTGATAATATCTTCAGAGCAAACAATTGATATACAAAATGGAAGAAATTAGACTTTAATTAGAATATGAAGAAACCATAACATACCATAAATGAAAGAAGCCCGGTGAGTATGCTGCATTCATAAAACGGAAACATTAGAATAAAACTATAAATTAATAATCAACTAGTGTTATTCACATATACCAATCCCTTGAGGAAAAGGATACAACCAAATTGAAAAAGTCAAAGAAAAAATAAAAACGCAAAAGGGAGTAAACCACATTTATAAAAGCACTGCAAAATGTGAACTCTCTGACCTTGATACAGACCACATTGGATTCCAACTTTCAGGATGAACTGCAAAATCAGAAAAACTTACCTGTATCAGTATCGTGTAACTAAGATACTAATTGATCTGTCTCCCTCATTATAAAAATAAAAAGTGATCTGTCTCCCGATATATTGAAGAACTTACAATCACTCATTGATAAACAGATCTTTTTCTGTGTCATGAACCTCCCATTGGGTGTTGTCATGCTACATTATAGAAAGTATGAACTTGGTTATAATAGACCAAATAAATGAAATTTAGAATGGCCAAGCATATAACAGCAATAGGGCACCTGATTCCAGGAGGTTTATATGGATATTCTGGTGGAAACTTGATTTTCCCATAGTAAAAACCACCTAAAAATGACCAAAAAATCATAAATACTATATGAGTGCTGAGACACGTAAAAACAAACCAAGTTATGGCTGAAACAAAATGTCAAACTGCAATAATCATAATTTGTTAAACCTGAGAAAGGTGTTCCCTCGCTTCCTTCCAATACGTAGTCTGAGACATAAACATTTAATAAGATCAGCATCAAGTTTCAACCACTCCCTACCAAATAAATTAGAATTAAGTTTCTGACAACACAATACAATATTTTCCTTGTTGATAATATAGCAGTATTAAGGAAAGAGCACTTAGGAGCAAGAGTAAGGTTAATGCGTTGGATTCAGGTGGTTACAGGTTCTACAACATTGATAAATATATGCACCAAAGATTCAACAAACCAATTTCCTCTTTTTGGAAATTAGAGATTGACAAAACCATATATGAAATGTAAGTGTGAAACAAACTTACGCCACTCAAGAATGTCACTTGGTGAAGGACGGGCCACAATATGGGAAACTGGCTCCTGCCAATACAAAAATAAAATTAAGTATCATCCAGTTGACATATTCTTCAAGGCCCAAACAATCCAACTCTCTAAAGTACATATTGTAGATTAATCAATCATGAAAAAATTATTCAGAAACTATAGTATAGACACTCTAAGTTGTATTAAGAGAAGAAAAGCAAAATATAGAAGAAAATATGTTCCCTTTCATTTAGGCTATAAATGTTTTATCAGCCACAACATCAAATTACCAAGCTTAGATATTTGCACAAATACACACAAAATTAGAGGAGGAGACAAACCAGCGATAACAGAATAAGCATAACTATATAGCTGTACAACAAAATAGTAAGCATTGGAACTGTGAATAAAAACAAATAGTGAAGCACAACGTTAGCATAAAAAACAAAGGATTCTATACTTACTTTACAAAGGGCTCTATACTCCTTCTGAAGACGCTTGATGCATGCTTTATCCGCCATTCAACTAATTCAGAGCAGTATAGACAAGGACTGTGCTATATTCTGTTTCTTTATTCTCAAAAGAAATTTCCTTCTGATCATTGATTAAGAGCATATACATCATCAATGAATTGAAAATAGAATTACGAATTTAGGATGTCATAAACAATAAACAACATTACAAAACAAGTATCATAACGAGAAAAAAATGGGGTTAAGAGTAAAACTATAGAAGGTGTGTAGATACACATATATCATGTGCATAAACAAAATGTAAATTGCCATCATTTTAATTTTTTTATCCAAAGTGTTATTTAGCATTCATTATTCGAGAAATGATACAATAGCAAACATAGAATAAGGAGGTAATAATAAGCAACCTCCATAGCATATTATAAATGACAAAATGGAGCAACTTCTATGTAGAATATGAACATAGTGAAGAATCTGGAGATACACGTGCATACATTGGGCATGCACATGCACCGTCATCATTACATGCATACAAGTGTGTGCATTGTCATCATTTTAATTTTAGGAATTATGTGGCATGGAATCTGAGACCCAGTCATTTAATTTAACTATCACTAATGGCTAAAAGTCAGTCTCTATTTATAAACAAAAAAAAACATATTAATAAAAAAACTAGAAGTCAATCTATTTCAACTGGCTATCTCATTTGTAAGGATTCTTCAAGATAGTTTGTTTGTTGCTCAAGATTCCAATAAATGGCAACATGATTGAGCTGGCAGCAACAGGTCAAAACAGATACTAAAAAATAGACGCCAGGTCAGTCAGAGAAGTCCGAACCAACACAACTGCAGGCATATCATTTTTGTGATATTGGAGTTTGTAAAATCTGAAGAGGCTTTTCCATGAAAACTAGCTACCCAAATGCTATACGTAAGTAATAAGACCCTAACCAGGAACAAGAAATCCCATAAAGACTTCAAACAAATAACTAATCATCCTAAAACACGAGTGTTACGCACCCCTCGACAGTTGGTGCTTCAAAATTTTACAACTTAGAACTACATCACCATCAATTTCCCATTAATATATTCTTAGAAATAGAATTGTATCCATACTTTTCCAGACACCAAACAAGTTAAAGAAAGAAAACTTCTCATGTAAGATTCCTAAAGCATCTATAAAACTAACCCAGGACAACTATCACTGCAAACTACTCCTGTAAATCCAGTGAAACCACTAGGATACATATTTCATAAACAACCAACAAATCTCACCAACCCAAATTCTTCATCTCTTTATTGAGCAAAACCCTTCCCAATCTTAGCAAATATTCTATTTTCTTAATCACAGCAACATGCATGCACGCCTAAACTATAGTACTTAGGTAAACCTCGTATTTCCCTCCTTTGAATTATACCTTTAAATACTTTCCCTTCAATTTCACAACTTAAGCAACCTATTACAGAAGCAATTCCACCTAAACCCCATGATCCAAACAAAAATTAGGGTAAACAAAAATTTAGGGGTGGAGAAAAGTAAATTGATTATCGGTAAATACATTTCCCATAACTCCCACAACGAATCCCAAAATCAATAATTAAAAATCAAAAATTTGCATAACCAAATAGCAAAAATCAAGTCTCGATCAAACAAAAAACCTAAAAAAAAATCCCAAAGTAGATAAAAATATAACAAATACGCAAATCATACAAAACAAGAACTTAATTAATCGAATTCGATTTCCACACGGAACGAAAAGAACAAGAAATTGATGGAAATTAACCTGAGATCCGATTTCGCGAAGAAAAATTTGGTGGCAAAATTGTGAATTTCGCGTGAACAAATTTGCCCCTTTTTGGAAACAGAAACAGCGAAAAGAAGTTCCAAAACGGCGGCGTTGAATATAGAGAAATGAAAGAAAGAGAGAGTAGAGTGAGTTTAGAACTGCTTTGGAAAAAAATGATTATAGATCCTCGCTGTTATACACCGCCAAACAACACACTTTCCCAAACAAAGCGTAACATGATATTTTCTATTTGACTGTTTTAACCCTAGTTATCATCACATGTTTGTTTTACAGGGAAGGGTATTAGGTAATTGTGAAAGTGTATTGGGACATGTATGAATAGTTGTAGTTTGGTTTCATGCCGACGTGTTAATTTTGTCATCTAGTGTTTTTGGTCCAATGGTTGATTTTTTGTTGGGGGATGAGAAACACTCCATTATTTCAAATGAAAGTTAGAAACAAATATTTTACTTTTTTTTAATATGTTTTTGCTAAAAATTAATTTCATTTGTACCTTTTTTATAGCACTCTATATATTTTTACTTTATTATATAAAATTTCACATATATTTCCTAATTTTAGATATAGATCTTCGAACGCATCCAAAATTCAGTGAATGTTAAAATATTCTAGAGATATATTCTGAAACAATTTGGAGTATAAGTCGCGTCAGACTTGTTTCCTCCCTTATTTCACAGTTTATTCACACACAACCTCAAACTCACCTCAAACTCTTCTCAATACACTTCAATTTCACAACATCAAATTTCATCGAATAAGGCTCAAAGGAACATCAAATTTCATCAAGCAAGGCTCAAAGGAACATCAAACCCATAAATTTTAGGTGAATTTTCGAGTTTTCAGATAAATTTTGAGTTTTAGTGTAAATGTGTAAATCAATTATTAGGGTTGGAAATGTGTAGGAATCGCATGTAACATAGTTTATACTTAGTGTATGATTTGTTTGTTGGCTCAAAATGGCGATCAGATCGTGTATATTTCAACTTGCATGAGTCACGTTACGTCATTGTAGCGACCTCTGAGTTGCAGAATATTTCGGAGATACATCTTCGAAATAGTTCAACATTTTGTATACTTTGATAATTTTCGGAGATGCATCTCTGGAACTCTTCAAAGTTAATAGTTTTATGGTGTTTCCGGAGATGTTTTTTCCGAAATTGTTCAACGTTATTATTTTATGGTGTTTCCGAAGATGCACCTCCGAAATTTTCTGTAGTCTATTTTTTTCTTGTTTGTGTGTTTTGTTTGTATGCACTAATGATATCTCTTACTTTACCTTACAAGCATAATGGCTGACATAGTCGACAGACTGAGATATGGCAGGGTATCACAGCATGCATCTGTTCGGCAGGTGCGGAGCTAACAGGTTTTTGAGGCAGCAGGTACCTCTGGTCAGGTAGAGGCGTCATCTTTTGGGGCGTCGTCTACTTCTGGGGATCATGTTTCACCTCAGGCCACTCCATCCTTTTCTTTCCATAAGAGACGGAAATCACCATCTAACGCGTCACTTCCTTCATCCTCATGCAGACGTCAGTATTCACTGGTGCCACCTCCTACGGATCTAGTGTCACCTCTCACTAATGATCATATTGAACCAGTGCTACCTCCAGAGAGTGAGACTGTTGCAGATGTCAAACTAGAGGGTTTTGTAGAAGGTTCATTTGATTTGTCCTTACCTCCTCTGTATCTAGACCACACTGTCAGACATATCTGGGACGGAGAGGTACCATTAGTTGGATTTTTTATTTATTTTTTATGTTAATTTTAATTACTAACGTTGATTATTTCTAACATTCATTATTACTGACATTTATTATTTAGGGGAAATTTCAGGTGTCTGATCCGTATAAGTTTCTTAACCATGGGAGGAAGATTGTTGGCTTAGCTCAGCCGGATGAGGATTGGGTTCAGTTAGTTCTATCCTTATTTAGCTTGAAGGACCTATGTATGACCGGTTACACTCTGGCCAACCACAAGATACTTAATTCTTTTGTGGAAAGATAGAATTTTGAGACCTATTTATTTCATCTCCCGCATGGTGAGATGTCTATCACATTAGACGATGTCTCGTTTTTATTACATCTTTTAATTAGGGTGAGATTCCTCATCATGGTAGGATGACCAAAGATGAGGCAGTCGAGATGATAGTAGAGCATCTGGGAGTTGATCTAGAGAAGGAGATTGAGGAGGCAAATATGAACAGGGGTGTTCATGCTAGATTTGAGTTTCTGGAGGAGAGATATGATGATGAGATCCTTGTTACACAATAAGCTCATGATGATGATGAGCAAGTGGCGGTACACATGACTCGTGCTTTGAAGGCATATTTTCTTTTTTTGGTCAACACTTATATTTTTTGGGACGAGTGCCACTTATACTGACGTTTCATACCTCTGGTACTTCTTGGAACTCACTCAGATCCATACTCACTCAAATCCATGAGTACAACTGGGGGGCTTGCCTATGCTATCTTCATTCGAAGTTGAAAGATGGGCGTTGGTAGAAGACGAAGCAGGTCATAAGTAGCGTGACACTTCTGGTGGTAATAATTCTTCATCCTTTAATGTTTTTATCTCAATTTTATTTCATATTTACGAAACCATTACCGACAATTGTTGATCCTTTAATTTTTTTTATTTCAGGCTTGAATCCTCCAGCACTTCTCGTGCATTACTGGCTAGGCAAGTGTGGATGAGTACACTAAGGACATGTCGTGTGTCTGTGCTTTTATCCCACTGAGAGGAAACTAATTGGTCGAGACTTTCATAATCTACCTTGATCATTTGGTTGCTGAGGACAATGCACTTCAACAAGATATGATTTTTTAGACTTGAATTTAAATTGAAATAAATCATATCTTGTTGGAGATATTTATGAAATAGATAATGTAACAGATTTTGTATTAATTCTAGACGAAATTAAAGATATTATCTAAGGAGAAAAACCTAGATTTATTATGTTATATAAGGAGCTCAAAAGCTACATTGGAAGTCAACCAATACATTGGAGATTTTAGAGTATTAGGATTTATTTTCAGTTTTTATTATTTTGTATACACATCAATATGTTTCAATAACTTGACATAGTTGGTTTGTCTAAAGTTGAGTGGTAGCATTCGACATTGATTATTGAGTTGTAATATTCAATCATGGATTGTGTGATTGAGAAGAAAGTGAGTAGGTTCTCGTGTTTATGGGGGAGCCCTAAATAGAGAGTCGTTGGGTAGTATTAGGAATATACA